GAGGAGCTCGGGGAGGTTGTGCCTCGGGCTGGAGCCAAATTAAATATCGATTGGCCAGCCGAGAAACAGGACGCTCGTCCTAAAAGCAAATTAGACGAGCGCTTCCTGAAAGCGAGGTCACAGCCTTCACGACGGGGCCTTCCGTTTTTTCCCGATCTCCATGCCGAGGTGTCAAGATCGTGGGAAAAATGTATTCTTCCCGTATATATAGCCCCACAGTCTCTAATTATTCTAATATCGTGGGGCTGAATGAGAAGGGATATGGGGCGATGACAATGGTGGAGCAGACACTCGCGAGCTATCTCTCCCCATCATTAGCATCGTCCCTGAAGGCCCCGAAGCTTCTGGCAGCAATGGTGGCCACGGAGCGGCATCTGTGGTTGAATCTGTTCGATATGCAGGATAAGGACGGTACGGGAGAGCTCGCCCCCTCAAGTGAAGGTTCTACAGCAGTCAGGTCGGTGACCCTTGCAGTGGTGGCTCAGAACCAAGGGATTTTCCCTGAGGGTGAATCCGCTTCGCATGATCAAGGTCACGTGGCGATGCTTACGTGCCTTAGACATGTGGAAGAAACGTTGGTTCCTGGTTCAAGGGCTGATGTTAGGGGCTCCTTGTTGTCGCATAACGCTAACGACGGATCCTACATCAATCGGCAGGGGGTCTGCGTTCGCGCCCCTTGTACAAGTATCTGGGTATCTAAATCAGGGGGCAGATATCCTGTCGAGACAGGGGCTGAGGCCCGGGGGATGGAGGCCCCAACCCGAGGTGGTGGAGCTCATTTGGAGGGAATTTGGCCAGGCGGAAGTGGATCTCTTTGCGTCGCAGGAAACAATACACGGTCCGCTCTGGTTCTCCCTCACGCATCCAGCTCCACTGGGGCTAGATGCCATGGTGCAGACGTGGCCGAGGCTTCGTCTGTATGCTTTTCCTGGAGAGAGTATGCCGGGATGGGGTCCATCTGTTGCTAGTAGCCCCGTTCTGGCTGGCACGAGTATGGTTCTCGGACCTGGTGTCCCTCCTCGACGGCTCTCCGCTGGAGATTCAGATCAGGAGGGACCTCCTTTCTCAGGGGGGGCACCATTCTTCACTCCTGCCCGGAGTTATGGAAGCTGTGGGCATGGCCCCTGAGGGGGCACAGCTCCTAGCATCTGGTCTCTCAACTGAGGTTGTTGAGACTATACTCCAGTCCAGAGCTCCCGTCACTAGGAAACAGTACGCCTTTTTCGTGCCTGGAATTTGCTCCAGGCATGGTTAGGGTATTCCTTTACCCGAGGGCCGAGTATGTCCCTAAGGTGCCCACTTCTTCACCAGGGCCCATAGTACTTCAGGCATTCTGTCCTCCTCCATTCCAGGAAGTAGGCCAAGAAAGGCTTAATCTGCTCTGAGAGAGCTGCCCCGTGGCGTAAGGCAGATCAGCTTTTTGTTTGGTTTGGTCCGCCAAAGAAAGGATCTCCGGCGACCAAGCAGACTATGAGTAGGTGGGTGGTCGAGGCCATCTCACTAGCTTACGAGTCCTCTGGCCTCCCGTCGCCTATGGGGGTCAGAGCGCACTCGACCAGGAGTATGGCAGCCTCCAAGGCTTTCACCTTGGGTGTTGCCTTGCAAGACATTTGTGCTGCGGCGGGCTGGTCCTCTCCGCACACTTTTGTCCGCTTTTACAGCCTAGGCCTGGCATCTATCCCAGGTTCCCAAGTTCTCTCTTCGTGATGTGCTCATAAGATACACACACAGGCAGGGACTTGTTAGTATGGCGCAGTGGGTATTCTCGTTCCCAAAGCGAATCTCGACGCAGCTCGAGTTCCTGAAGGGGAACGTCTCTAGGTTACGTATGCAACCATGGTTCCCCGAGGGAACGAGACGCTGCGTCTCTTTGCCATACTCCCTGCATCCCTGCAGGCACTACTTCATCGAAGCTGGTTTGCGCCCTGCCGGATGCACTTTTATGCTTTCTGGTGCTTACGTCACCCTGGTCGTGACGTCTCGCTGCTCCATTGGACTGATTTGACACGTGCTTCAGAACGTGGTCACGCAAGGGTGTTCCCAATGCGAATCTCGATGCAGCGTCTCGTTCCCTCGGGGAACCATGGTTACATACGTAACCTAGAGACGTTTTGCTTTTATTTCACAGAACTAATCTTTGCCTGGGTTGTGTATGTATGTGTGGGGTGGAGCTATCAAAATAGAGGCAAGACCCTTTTGGGGTAGGGGTGTGTTTGTTTTGGTGATTTCAAATGTCAACATTGGCTACCAAAAATCGCTTACCCCACCTTTAAGCTCAGAACTGCTTCGAACGAATCGTTTCAAAATCATTGAAAAATGATTCTAATATTAAATGTATATTCTGAGAAAATTACAATGTTTTCTGACCTTAGATTCATTTAAACCTGTTGTAGGGGACTCCAACACAATATTAGGACATTTTAAAATATTGTATGACCTACTCTTTAACCCTACAAAGCCTTTTGTATCATATTTGATGCACAAATTTCTAAAGCTTAATAAACACTGCAACATTCCATAAAAAAATAAGAATTGTCCATTTTGATTTTATGTGGTCTTCAAAGAAACAGAAACACCTCCAAACCTTACTAAACATTTGGAAAAATTTTGGAAATATTGAACCATTCTAGAATGTTTGAGATCTGCATAGAAAAAAACTGCAAAATGACTTTTGAACTTGCAAAATGAATTGAAATTGTGTTTTTATAGGCCACATTCCCACTGTTTTTGATCCATTCAACATGACTCTAAAATAAGAGGAGTTATGATTTTTAATGTGAATAATATTTATTAAAATATTACACAAAATTAGAAATATATTGTAATAATAATGTTGTACTGTAAAATAAAAATCAAGTGTATTTCATAAAGTATATTAATTTTATTTTATAGTACATCAGTGAAATTAAAATTTATGTCTTATAAGTTCTTCATTTTCAATATGAAAATAGTTCATTTACATGTACAAAAAAAACATGGTAATACCATTATACTTTTTGAAGTAAATGCAAATTAAGATGTATATCAATAGAATAATGCAGCACTAAAATCAACTACATAAACAGAAAAAGATAAAGATACCACAAATTTATAACTTAACTGTGCAGCTGAACATTATGCTGTGAAAAAGAAGCATAGAGTATATTGTCTCATATAGGCAAACAAAATAAATTTAAAATATTCGCTTTGAAAGAACACCAAGAGCAGGTACCTCAAAGAGGTCCACCACGATTAATCAAGATCCACTCACTTGAACACACCTGGCTTCACTGCTAGCTTATTTGTTTGTTATTTGTCAAGAAGCAGTTTGTTTAAATGACATCTGTGTGTGCAGTTCAGTTCATATTCCCCATGTCTTTGAATGAGTCGAGCGAATAAAGATGCAGTGGCTGTACATGAACACATCAGCCTTTTCCCTGTGCAGAGTGCTTGACACATTATTATGTGCAAAATCATGTGCTTTTGGCTTTATGGCTCTGTCTGGTGTGCTGGATCAAATCCTGAGTCGTTCATAGGTGTGAAGGCTGTGTGTGTATGTGTGTGTGTGTTTCAATGGGCAAGATGCAGAATTTAGAGTAAATTGGTTGAAACAGGAAAACAGGACATGAAGTTATTGTTTTGTTTTTCATTTATTTAGACACCTCCCACTTCGCTGCGCATCCTGATCCAAGCAGAAGGACAACAGCTGATTTTATCTGTGGAAAAGAACCAGTGAGTCTCCCTCACAACACTCCAGACTCTCAAATCTCCACACACATGAGCAGACACACAGAGTTTTTACAAAACCACATGATCTGTAAGATCAGGATTACTGAAAACTTCCAAATCCTGATCCTGTCTCATCAAAACAAAACACATAGAAGTAACTTAAAAGGATAGTTCACCCAAAAATAAAAATTCTGTCATCATCATTTAATTACATCATTTAGAATGTGAATATAGTGCATAAGTCCTATGAATCAATTTTATGATACATTCATGGTGCTTTTGTGTCCTTATTGTCATATGTACATATTGTCATATGAAGTGTAAGGGAAACAGGTCAATTTAGCTCAAAGGGAATCATTTAAGATTTTAAAGGGAACTTCACCAATAATATGTTAGGGAATTAGGACAGAATCACTGTTTTACGGCTGATCACTGAGACGGCCAGCGATTCAGTGAATGAGCCGTATGACATCAATTCTGCAATGGATATTTATATCCAAAATATAGTGAAAACACTATTAATTAGTACGGTAACAAGGTCGGCAGTTTAAGACATTAACTTGTGAGCACAGGCGTTAGGCAAACTTAACTCAAAACACGAAACTCTCAACGGAAAATAAAATAAACTAAAGAAATAGAAGTAAAGTTTGACGAGACCAGGTGGCGTTTCTCCTCATGGTTTTGGAGGAGATGGCGTGTAAGCCAGAGCACGCTCGAAAGCTAAAGAAGCATGATTAAAAAGCATAGCTCAAAGCTGAAAAGCCCATTCTTCTGCAGTACTGAGTCCTCGCCTCATCCCTCTACCCAGATCCCTGACAGTCTGATTCGGTCTGATATCCTACAGAAGTAAAGACATGTATGAAATTAAAACATCTATTAGAACATGGAAGGATTTCATGACATATATATCTAGCCCATATAAATATGTATGTTTATGTATGTATATTAATAAATTTTTGACATATGACGTGTCATATATCTAATTATTTATACGCATAAATGTATAATATGCCAGTCACGCATAAATGTATTATATTTTATTATATTATTATAATATATAATGCAGTTATATTGTAGATTGATTCATTTCCATTATATATATATATATATATATATATATGATAAAACTTTGTTAAAAGAATGTTATAAGTAACAAATAAAAGTAACATATGTACATATATAATATACACTTACATTATATACATACAGTACGTTATGTACATGTGTTGATATATGTAAATTTAAAAGATAGACATGTATGTTAAAGTAATAAGAAATATATATATATATATATATATATATATATATATGTGTGTGTGTGTGTGTGTATGTTCACAGCATTTTTTGTATATGTTTTCATAAACGTGCATTTATAAATATTGTTCACACATATTCTCGCTATTCATACAGGTATGTACTGTACATAAACAAATTTTAGTTGGGGCATTTTAAGTAGGTTAGAAAATTAAAACTTCATATATCCACAAGATATTGCTTTATAGGTAACATATGTGGCGCTCTTGATATAGGGCAATGTACAGTATGTAATTTATTACATTTCTGTTTGGGAAAGAACAAAGCAGTAGAGAGACAGACTGAAAGAAAGAAAGGACAGACGAGCCAACAAAGAAACTCCAGGGATGTCTGATACAAACTGACCTTCTCTGTACATTAAGCTGAGTTCAACTCTTTCCCACAGCAAAAACATCACTCATCCAGATATATAAAAGCCCAACCCAGAGGACAGACACTTATTTCTCTAGAAGGACCATGAAGCTTTGTGTGTTCATCATCACAGTAATCATAAAAGTCAAACATTTTTTGCATGCTTATGCAGCTTCACATTTTTTAATATAAGCCTTTTTACAAAGAATTGTCAGATCTTGAAAGCTTTCCTACACATGCAAAGTGATTCACTGCATATTAATGACAGATGAACAAGTGGCAACACCTCGACAAATAAAACAGCAATTGCGTATCTTTTCAAGCCACAATAACACCGAGGATGTCATTTATTCACTCTAGCTGCTTTGACAATGCATTTGATAAAAGAGCTTTGATAGTTCCCATCTTTCTCTGAATTTTGTCTAACCTCATCTTGAACTCATTTTTGATTAATTCATTTAATAATCGTTGTTTTACTCTATGGATTTCTCCTCCCAGTATTCTCTAAGCACGGATCAGCAATACAACACAGACTTAACAACAGCCTTGAATACTGTTTAACTCATAATGAACAGAGAAGCAATGCCGCCTTTGATTGCTCTTCCAAAGGATTTCCAAAATAAATGGCTTAGTGTGTGATGGCGATTGAGGCTTCAGAGCTGACTGTCAGAGACTTGAAGAGAGCGCTGTAACGCTGATAGACTTTAATCAGCAGCTTCCCAGTGAAGTTGCAGCTTTGCTCCACTTAATTTGTTGAATTCTTTTAAGGGCCATGTTCCTCTCAAGACTAAGTGAAAACACTTACCATAAAGTCTGTAACAAAAAGCCAGACAACATGAGAGCATGTGTATGATGTTTTTAGGCTTCCATGATTTAGCATCATTTGGGAAATTAACTTGAAACTATAGCAAGCTACTCGTAATTTAAAGAAGTTAGAATTATTCTTTTCAAAAACATAGCACTACAAGTTACAAAACATAGCTTGGTTCAGTACATTACATTTAGCTTAAAATGTACTCAACTTCATTGCCATCCAAGATGTAGAGTTTTCTTCTTCATCAGAACAGATTTGGAGAAATTTAACATTGCATCATTTGTTCACCAATAGATCTTCTGCAGTGAATGGGTGCCGTCAGAATGAGTGTTCAAACAGCTGATAAAAACATCACAACAATCCACACAACTCCAGTCCATCAGTTAATGTCTTGTGAAGTGAAAAGCTGTGTGTTTGTTAGAAATAAATCCATTATTTAGATATTTTTAACTTGTATTAATTTGTATTTTAAATATGAGTCCTCTATCCATAATATTGCTTTGAAATATGTTAGTGGATTTTGATGTAAGAGGACAATAAGGGATGAACTTTTTCACTGGAGGAAGTATCATTATGGATTATGGAATCATATTTTGACCAGAAATTATGGTTTAAAGTTAAAATGCCTTGATGGATTTGTTTCTTATAAACATGCAGCTTTTCACTTCAGAAGACATTAATTAATGGACTTGAGTTGTGTGGATTACTTGTGGATTATTGTGATATTTTTATCAGCTGGACTCTCATTCTGACGGCACCCATTCACTGCAGAGGATCTATTGGTGAACAAGTGATATAATGCTAAGGTTTTACAAATCTGTTCTTATTCTCATCTACATCTTGGATGGCCTGAGGGTGAGTAAATGAGTTTGTAGTGCAATTAATGTATACCTCTAATGGATTTTGGATGGATGGACACCTAGTGAAGGCTTGAACGTGAATTTACACCAAATACAACTGATAAAATTGTTGGCTTTGCGGTCAGTCCACATTCCAATGTGCTCCTTTTGATTCATGAGTGTCTTGCGTCTTTTTCCAGTCCCCTTTTTTCACCAATAAAATGGCAAATAGCAGTATTTAACAATATACAAAACTGAAAGATGTACAATGCTCCACAGTGACTGGAAAAACACTGTATGTCATGAAAGGATAAATTACATTTTGGAGCTGGTTCATTGAAATGCATCGTCCGAAACAAACTAATTCGCTAAAATGAATTGGTCTTCCCAGCGGTACTTGAGAGAGAGCGAGACACTTTCTGAGAGCACGTTTGATTATTGCCGCTGCTCGCTCTGTTGTAAGGCTGCGTGAGCAATATGTGACATAAAAAAACAACAATATAGTGCTTGTAAAAATAGCTTTTTACTGGAAAAGCTGCACTATTTTGATGAGCTACTGTCACAGCATAGCATCCCTACTTTCAGTTAGCTGTCAGTCACTTTTTTCATTTGTAGATTTTACCAAAGTGTTCTGCCTCTTTTAGACTGTAAATCTTGATAATGAAGTTAAGACTCAAATCCCGGACACCGAATTGATCAACGTCAACAGGACGTTGAATGAAGGAAGATTGTAGGAAGATTTAGAGCTTACTCTGGTCGACACAAACAGCTGTTAGTGATAAAGAGACAGAGCGTGTGTCATTGAAAGGCTTCCTTTTATTCAGCCAAACAGGAAGGAGCTTAGCCAAGCTCACAAAACATGTAATTACTGTGAAGACTACTAACATTACCATAGAAACTTGGACTCAGTGCCCATGAGTGGCCAGGGAAGAGGGTTCTTGTTTGTGTGAGAATGACATCATTGACTTTCTGCTCTGATGTTAGGTGTCAAGCTGAAGTAAAACTAATGAACTGAGTCCAGGAGAAAGAGAGATACACTATTAGGCTGGCCCTGTGATTCTGCTTGGTAGCAAGGTGAGGATAATGAGGAGGGAGTCCTTCAACACCTGACACAATCACACACACAAATACACACACCTGTAGTGACCTTTAAAATCAGGCCATAGATGAATTAGAAATAAGTGTTTTTTTCTAAAGCAGGTGTTTTTAAAGCTTTTGACAGTGGGCCTCTCCTCTGAAAAAACGACTCCAGGTTACGTATGTAACCATGGTTCCCCGAAGGGAACGAGATGCTGCGTCGAAACACTATGGGAACGCCTCCAGCATGACCACGCTCTGAATCACATGTGTAATCAGTCCAATGGATGGGTGAGACATCACAGGCGGGGTGACGTATCGACCAGGAAGCATAAAAGCACGTGCGGTGAAACCGGCGTCAGCTTCTAGGAGTTAAGCAAGTGCTGGCAGGGATGCCGGAAATATGACCCTGAGACGCAGCGTCTCGTTCCCTTCGGGGAACCATGGTTACATACGTAACCTGGAGACGTTCCCCTTCAAGAACTCGAGCTGCGTCGAAACGCTATGGGAACGAGAATGCCCACACCGCCAGACTTGCAAATCCCTCCCTAGTGTGGAAGAGCACAACTAAGGCGAGAGAAAAGGGAGCCAGGAATGGCTAAAGTAGG